GATGTGGATTAGCCCCGAAAACCGAAGTCGAACATGTGTGTATAACTTTTTTTGAGAAATTTCTTGCCAAAATTACACGGAGTCAGATTTATTTGTCTACGTTTCATGGAGTATGCTGATGTCTTCACTAGTAGATTCAATAGTAAGCCATAACAACTTTCTCTACGAACTCTGATGAGGCGATAATTGGATGTAGTTTATGAAGCACTTCCTTCCAAGTTTTCTCACGCATAAGGTCTCGGCATTTTTTTTTTTTTTTTGGTACGCCTCACAACCTATTAGAATGTGACGAAAGTGTTTCTATATTTGTGGCATTGGCAAATCTCAGGTGTACGGAATGGAATTCCGTAATTAAATACAAATGTGTAATTTTCAAATACTCATTCATCACCCAGACGATGCAGGCAGTAAGCTCTTCTGAAACATCGGTTAATATCTACAACACTAAAAAGTGCAACATTCCAGAAGACACTCATTTTAAAAGTGGGTACATAATTGTCAGGGTTCTTCAGAAGTGATTTTGATTTTGTTTGTTTGTTACTGTTCTTTTCACAATTTTGAACTTCCATCAGGCGGGATCTACGAGAGATAGGAGTTGAAGGAGACTGGATTTTGTTGGCCCAGGACAGGGTCCGGTGGAGGGCTTTGGTTAGTTCGGTGATGAACCTCTGGGTTCGTTAAGCCATCTGGTTGGTTGGGTCCACTATTTGGGAAGCCTGAGGGGAAGAGACCTCTGGAGAGACCTAGACGTAGATGGAAGGCTAATGTCAGGCGAGATCTACGAGAGATAGGAGTTGAAGGGGACTGGATTTTGTTGGCCCAGGACATGGTCCGGCGGAGGACTTTGGTTAATTCGGTGATAAACCTCCGGGTTCGTTAAGCCATCTATTGTCCGAAAGTAGACGTGGCTCGCGGACTATAGTTAGTTAGTTCTGGCGACAACACCAATTTACACAAGTTTTTAACTTTTGCTATTAGACCGCATTTCGTACTAGCATTTTGTGGCCTTATGGTAATCAGGATTTCTCCTAACGAAATAAAATCATTACCTCACACCTGAAACTGAAATTCCCATTCATTTCCAACTCGTCCTCAATTTTATCTCCTTAATCGTGTATTCTAAAGGAAATGTGAAAATGAGTGGCGATAAAGAATGTCATTATTTCAGATCGTTTTGAATACGAAAACATAGTTTTTTTTTCTCTAGTTGGCGCCTACATCTCTAGGATATTCTTACTCATGGCGTTTCGGTGAAAAAATATGCACGTAACCACATACCACGTGGTTAAGTGAAAGTTGTATAAAATTTACTGCTGGAGATTTGACAGTTTTATATAAGTCTAACCGAATGAAACGTGACTACAGAATAGGTATAACGTTATACATTTGTACACCACGCAGGGCTGTTAATATACTTCAAGAGTATTACGATTAAATAAATGAGTTAATAAAGCAGCCATGTACCGAACTACTAAAGGTCAATGCGTAGAAGTTAGAAGTTCAGATTTGTTAATCTGCTGTCCGGTTTTATAATTTTAATCTCACGCAATGTCTACATTGTTTGTGGTGTGTACTTATTTCGCGTGTGGATGGAGGAGGTGGTCTGCAGATGTGGAGGGGAGATGAGAGACAATGAATGAGCGGTAGTGGATATAAGGCAAACTCGATGGTTGAGCGTTTGGAAAATAACCTTTCACGTTAAAAAGCAACTGTAACGAAAGACTTGAACGTATTATTTGGTACGAAGTAAGCAGCGTATGAAGGTAATGAGCTTTAAATATTTGGGTCAGAATGAGTAATTCGAAAAGTAGAGTGTATCTGTGGATAACAGCAGACATTTTGGAAACTGATCTGAAATTCGTTACGGTCACGAGCCGACACTAAATTGAGAATGAACGACACATTTCTCTAACTCGACAGCAATGATTATGCATCGTTTAAGAAGGTAGGTGAGCCAATATAAAGAGAGTATACCAAAAGATGTCACTTCGAACACAGCCGAGTTCTCTTGGAGTCGTCGTTTGTGGGAAAAGCGCTCCCTGTTTAATCCCTGACCAACCTAATTTGAATTTAAAGAAGTCTTAGGAAGAGACTCCCAAAGATGCCATCGGACAATCAACCTTTGTACTCCGAAGTGGATGTGACAAATATCTTACGAGCCCTTCATCCCACTGCTTCAGTGTGGCCGAGTTTCAAAAACTATACAAATCCGTCGTATAAGATTATTTATTCCTCCAGCCTGAATACCATCCATCGTTCAATTACATACAGCGGCCGACGTATTCTTGAACTTAAGTTGATTAAATGGCATTTCACGACAAAGTAACAGCGTATTTCTGTATTCATGCTGCTTAGATACACTAATCACCAGCTTATACGTACAGTGCATTGGAATTAGTCTTAAACTTCCTCTCACATAACATAAATGAACGTTTCTTTCTTTATGTAAGTAATCTGTTCTAATTTGTGTGAGGGGACTGGCGTGATACTGCACCCTCGAACATTCTGATTAAATCTACTGTTCTCTGCGTATATTAATTAACTGCTATGCACATCAAAGAGTCAATTGAATAAAAAAATTTCTTGGATATTATCCATCGTCTAGTAAATATAAAACGTAAAAAACGACGTTTCGGAGATGGGACTCGGCAAAGGGCAGTTGCAGCCGATCATTAACTTCAAGTTAACGTAATCGAAAGCGACGGATAGATGTCGCCAGCATAGCATCAGACTGACAACGCTATCAGGGAATGCCTCGTCTCAAATGTTTAGTCTACACTGTAGACTCTACAGGGAGTCAGAGCGGGAATGTTTCCAGCCAGCCGTGGTTAGTGTTAAGTTTGAGATGCAAGGACTCTGGAATCGAAATATCTCGTCGTCACCGACAACTTGCATCACCCCGAATACCACTACTGTCGACGGTAACCTTCGCTCAAGGAGGGACCTAGGGCAGACGAGGAGAGCGTCGACTTGCCAGGACCTATTTACGATGGTTAACTACTGCAGACGTAGACCAGACCTTCGAGCCAACGCAGATGAACTAGTGTTGTTGGGGCAGACAGACAAGGACGCCCACCCACAACCACAAATGAAGAAACACGAAGCGTGATCAAGTAATGATTTTGGAGACTGTAAGGCAATTATGAGTACTATAATACCGGACATTAATGTTTCTCGTCCTTGGTGCGAATATCTTAGCGAGGCTACCACACTCATTTCGATCAAATGCACCAATGAACCACACTCGCAGCATGTCACTGTCTGACGTCGAGCTAACAGCGTACAACGAAAATAATATAATATTGTTGATATGTTTTGAATCGGTCTCTGGATTCTTTGCTTCTTTTATGAAAATTGTCTCCAATTTTAAATTCGAGTTCTTGTGGGCTGAATACTGAGTAGAAAAGTCTGCGGAGTATAAATTTTGTTCACGAGGAAGAGAAAATCTTTGATAGCAAACATCTAAGTAACACAAAACAGCGATCAGCTAGGTGGCGAGGTAGAAAAGTCTTCTTTGTACCAGATAGATGTTAAGTTCAATCCATTTGTCTCAGTAATTGAAAACGGCGTTAAAGGAAACAATGTTTTCGTTCTTAAAGCCTCATCATTCAGCTACAAGATGTTACTGAAGCAGACGGGACGTTTCTTACCATCGTTTATGTTTATAGACTTCATTCGTAAGACTTTTTTAAGTATAAAAGGAAGTACCTAACTCGGTGGCTCTGTGGCATTTGTTGAAAATTGGTTCAGTGTTTGTCCGAGACGGTCGAAGAAAGTGTTCGAGAAGTTATTTAAGTTTAATGATCAGCGTTTAAACGTAGTCGTAGGCCATTGCAGGATATTGTAACAGCTCACGACACGTTAAAGACGCCATAGACAACAACATGAATAAGAATCATCAACCTGTGCAGTAATTTTAATTGTTTTAAAGGTTTTGATAAAATGTTAGCTTATTTTATCTAACATAATTTTATCCTTGATAAAAAAAATTAAATAAAAACAAATTGTTTCCATGGCGTTGGTGTAATGTCTGCGGCATTACATATGAACCTAAAAATGATTATATGGGTCGAAACACATAGCTCGGAGCAAACGACCACTTTTATAATAATGGGAATTGATGTGTGTAAAACGTGGCTGTGGTTATTTATTTATTTAGTGTTCTGTCTGACGACAGGTCCATATGAACAGGATCCTTCGATCCTTTTCTCGGACTGGGACCTGTTCATATACGTTCTTGGCAGATGATCCAGAAGTGGTTTGCCATTGCCTTCTTCTGTGTGTGAATGGAGTAATTGTTGGGATGCCACGGAGAAACCGGGGAAGCCCCCGGAGGAAAACTCAGTGTTGCCTAGACCACGGCCTTGCCCAACACAAGTTATAAATTCGGGCACCGCCGGGAATCGAACCCGAGACCCCAGGATTACAAGGCCAGCGTTCTAACCGCTAGAAAGTTAATTCTGGAATTTATCTGTACTGCCGGAGATAAGACTACCACTCTTGTAATAAAACTGCTATTTTACCGACATGTGTAACGAAGATGGTTGTCTCCTGGGTTGTAGCACCGTGTAGTCTGACAAAAATTCATGACTGACTTCATCGCCCTGATGGTGGAGACAGCAAGGACCTCTGTAATGTTGGTAAGCTTCTACCCTTCGACGTCACGCCGACGTCATTGCTGCTGTGTTCCTATAATCCGTCCAGATATAAGAGTGAAGCACTGGTCCTTATGGGCTTTTACTTCCTTTATTGGCACCCTCTATGGATATGTTTTTATTTAAAAAACCAAGAGTTGCAGTACGATTGTGTTTCGTAAGAATGTGCTTTAAGCACTTTGTAGTACATTACTAGTGTGAAGAGTTTATTTAAATGTTTAAATTTCATTCAATATCATGTATTTTTATTTTATAATTACCGGGGTAGGGTACGGTAGAAGGAACAGCCACTACTGAAGTTGCATGGATTGTGCACGTGGTGAATTGGAGGGCAGTACTGTGCTATCCAAAGAGAAGTTCACAGGTGTCGGTGTTTTAACGGTGATTTCTTGAAGTTTAATTTGTGTTTTTCAACAGAATGGATAATTTTGCTTCTGCCAAACGAACACCTCGCGCGTTTAGCAAATATTGCAACGTAGCTCCATGCATTACTCATATATCTGGAAGAACTATGGTAGTGTTACCATTATTTAATGTCAACTTAACTGCCTTCTACGTTCCCCCTCCACTTTCTTTACCCCTACATCTTTAACCTACTCCCCCCTCCACTCCTTTCTAGTTCCCTCGGCAGAAACAACTGACTGGAGCCACAGTCACAGTTATGGCAAGAAGAGGAAAGAAACAGTAGGTCGTGGTCAATTAAACAATTGAATTACGCCATATGGCTCCCGAATTTCATCGTTTAGACAATGTCGATAGCAAATGGAATACCAGTGTTATGTGTGAATGAAACACGTATTGCAGTTTCTGTTGCTGACTTTTAAATGTGTCAGTATTGTGTATGTGTGTGATAATTACATCGAACGGGAATCAATGTAAATGAATGTTTGTGAACACCATGCGATGGCGGTAGCAGTGACAAGCTTGGAATCGACTGGAAGTGGATTAATTTTTCCTGTCGACATCTCAATCTGTTAACAGGTCCATCAACAAATAATTCCTTGAACTACAACTTTCACCTTGAACAGGTATTGTACCACTTTATTTTTATATTTATATTTCTGAAATATGTCTGCCGTTAGCATTGACATTTTTTAGCCATCGATATAGAATTCTTGTAATAATAATGGTGAGAAGTAAGAACATCTGAAATCTAGTCAGCCACAAATGCCTTGCAATTAAACAAAGAAGGTTTAGTTATCAGCATGCCAGTAATTTATTACCAGCCTGTTCAAGTCATGAGAGTCGATATTTTTCGATGAAAAGAATTAGAACTACAGGAAACCGTGCGATGTAATGTTATACGTTTAAAGATTGGACATACATTGTTTGGTAAATCTGGTGTCATTAGGAGATGGTATATTGCTGGAAGACTGTGGCGACCTAATTCGTATGACAGCAAAATCTAGCCTCACCTTTTCTCCGAGACCAGTAAATTGTTGAGAGAGAGAGAGACGAAGCCCCTGGGTATGTTAATGTTTTGCTCAACCAGGGCTGTTATGTCCCGGTAATGCCACCGGTATTTCCGTGCGACATTTTTCAACAACTTTCACCTCAAACTTTTCATCTCGCAGTTTACCTCACAGCATCGATACCGAACCTGTGGCACGTAACGTAGTTTGGGATAACAAGTCATTAATGAAACGTGATATGTGAAGGGGGGAAGTCCTCGGAAAAGGGCGCAAGGACTCTGACAAGACGAAGTTATCGAAGGTGTGACGCTTCATGAAACTGTGGGGAATTGAGAATTATGATAATTCCGATGCGTTAAACAGACACAGAAGTTTTTTAACAAATATGTTTGCTGAGTTTGTGTATCCATTAAAGTATTTATCTTTACAGTTACTTGTTAACAGCCGGTAGCTGGGTAGTCCAGCGATAGGGGCTACAATTTCTGTCTCTCTGGACTTTCGGTTGAATTCGCTTTCCTAGTATCTGTGGATGAGGGTTCCTCCCCTTGCAAGGTAGCAAGGTTTCGCCATTTCTTTTTACCCTCATGATTATGGGTCGACATATTTAACGAATTGTGCCACTAGAAATCATACGTGAGATTTGGGATCACAGTGGGAACTATAAACTTCGACCACCACGATTATCGAGATGTGACTGACCAAGATCGATTGGTATTAACTCCATCTCTGTTCCTCATACTCCTAGCGGCTGGACACATCTGCTGTTTGTTACGTATTTAGAGCAAATAATAAAATTGTGGAAAATTACGAAACCCGTACGTATAAGAATAGACGTAAATGCCACATTATATAGTAGTACTATTGTGTATGCTGATAACCAATTACTATTAACAAGAAAATAACATTTACAGGAAGGTGTATTTTGTCCAAAAAACTTTTTGGGATTAGAAATAATTTTTATAATATGAATATATAGGAATAAAAGTCAAAGGAAATGAAAGGAACATGAGAAGAGTAGAAACCTCAGTAAATGGGATAATTTTGGAACACATAAAAGATTATAAATATTGAAGTTCATGATAGTAAGTAAAAATTTAAAATAAAATATAACAAAATGCTATCAAAATAACTGGTTACTGAAAAGTCATTACAATAGACAAGCGAACAAGGCAATCCAATTGGAATTTAATAAAGTGGTCTGTAAAACAAACGGGGTATTTGGAAGCCAAATGGTGGACCTTTGTAGCTAAACATAAGATCGAAGCACCACAAATGAGATTTTTTACGTGGATTGAAAGTGAGAATAAAAGAAGTTGATATGAAGCTAAGAAAATGACCGATGACAGGAAGGGAAGGAGAAATCATATTCATTGGATGCCGGACTCTACAGAATTATGAAATGCTGGCTTTTATAAATAAGACCGACCACAAGCAAAAATGCAAATACGCATTCCTCCAAAAACTTCTCGATTTTGATTTGCGGTCCTTTAAAATTTATACGTCTCTCTACTTTCTTTCGCCTTACAGACCTCACATGTACGCAAAAACGTGCCCCCCCCTCCTTGATGTGTTTATCTTCCATATTCAGGTAGTAAAGGACAGGTATTTTTTTAATAGCTGTTCCTTGTGGGTGATTAAGTGCTATTAAAGTAATGCCGACAAAAGCACTGCCGGTTTACGTTAAAATTTCTCTTTAAATTAAATTAGCCAACTGTTAAGTCTTGCAGCTAATTACCGAACTTCGTGATCCACTGATGCTTCGTATTCGGGAGGTACCGAGTTCAAATCTCGGCCCGGAGACCGAGTATCATGACTTGGTTTGATTCGTGGTTTTTCTCAGTCCTCCACGCTGTTTCAATGAGGACAGTTAGACCAGTCTTTCGTAGTCTTGGATATCCCTGTAACTGGTTTTGTCTGCAGCACGTTCTAAGGTCCTTCATCGTTTACCGGTTGGTGTTATTGTATTCGTCTTTATGTTGTATGATTTTTTTTTAATAAGATCGCTGTTTGGGAGGTAGGATTAATACCTAATCCGTGTTTTTCTTGCAATTCTACCACTAATAGTTACGGTTAATCTTGTTTATTGTTATAAACATTTTGTTTGACTCCATTTAACGACACAGAGAATTCTAATAAAATCAGCGAAAATAAGATACTAATTACATTGCGTAAGTCATCGATGAATAGGTTAAAAATTAGAGGCCCCAAAACAGATCCAACAAAGCCAACTATTGGGTTAATAAAGTCTAGATAAGTTACGAGATTTGTTACAGTAGATTTAGATTTTGTAAAACCACGCTGACAAGGATTGCATTTAGACTTTACGTAATGTGAGACATGATTATGAATAACAAGTTCAATTAATTTGGAAAAATTATGAAGTATAGAAATGAGTCGGTAGTTACTAACAGTGACAGAGTTGCCTTTTTTAAAAAATGGGAACTACTGCTGTATGTTAGACTTAGATTAAAGATATCAGAATAACCCTTTATAATAAAGATAGGCGACGTAACTCAATAAAATCTTCTCGGGCGGTCAGCAAATGGTTAAACATCAAAACCCTGATGATGGGGACAGAGACGGTCCCCGAAACGTCGGTTTAACTGTTTGAAGCGGCTGATCGCCGAGAAGATTTTATTAAAGCTAGGGATGTCATCAAGCCTGATAGATTAGATGGTCTTAGACGTCTAATTGATTTACAGATGTCCAATTCAGAGATTATTATTATTTAGTGTTCTGTCTGACGACAGGTCCATATGAACAGGATCCTTCCATCCTTTTCTCGGACTGGGACCTGTTCATATACGTTCTTGGCAGATGATCCAGAAGTGCTTTGCCATTGCCTTCTTCTGTGTGTATGGAGTAATGAGTATGTCTGACGACATGTCCATATGAACAGGATCCTTCCATCATTTTCTCGGTCTGGGACCTGTTCATATACGTTCTTGGCAGATGATCCAGAAGTGGTTTGCCATTGCCTTCTTCTGTGTGTGAATGGAGTAATTGTTGGGATGCCACGGAGAAACCGGGGAAGCTCCCGGAGGAAAACTCCGTGTTGCCTAGACCACGGCCTTGCCCAACACAAGTTATAAATCTGAGTACCACCGGGAATCGAACCCGGGACCCCAGGATTACAAGGCTAGTGTTCTGACCGCTAGACCACCGTGGCTACAATTCGGAGATAGGGGCTAATTATAAGAATTCAGAGGACTCCACAGGGGAAGGGGATGCTCCTAAATAAGGGTTATTGTAGTAGACTTATTGAAAATGCTTAGGAAAACCATCAGCAAATTTACATAGTTGTGCCAAATGTTATGTGTTGTTTTGTTTAGTTGTTTCACTGTGATAGGTTAACAAAGCGCAGAGAAATCTGGCTAGGAAAGTTTTCGAAGTCTTTATTCTTATTTTTGGTTTATCGCTGTATTTGTAATCACAAAAAGTAAGCAACCGTCTTTTGTTATATGCTGAGTAAAAATGTGCTCTCCACTGTAGTAGCTTTCTTCATTGTTAGTTGTGAAGATTTAGAGCTTCGACAAAAAATTGTGAAGTGCTATGTTTTCCATTGACGACGGAACTCTGCTTTCTGTTATGGAATGCCAATATTGTACAATTTTATTATGTCTGTATGTTATTAAAATGTTAATTTCTCTGCTGCGGAATTTACACAGTATTGTGTTATATGCAGTAGGCAGGGATAATATTTTCGTGTACGCCTATGAAGGATTTAATTTTCAACTTGGATTATAGCATGCTAAAATGAGATACGGAAGATGGGACTGTAAAGATAATGGAAAATCAATGTAAACAGTTTAAAATTTCGACGTTTTTTATGTGCAATGTTTCGTGAATTCTCTGTTCCAACAGCTGCCTTGCAAAGACACTTAAATGAGAATAATTATTTTGTAACACAAGACCAAATTGTTTCAGAAAGTAACCGAACTCACTTCCTCAACTTAAAAATCTGAACTAGATAAAGTTAGAAAAAACGAGAATCTTCGCCCTCGTTCTCAGGGTAGTGTAGTATAGTCGGCGTAGAAGTTTTTGGCGGACGGGCCTAGTCCGTGTACCTGAGGTGGCACGGTCAGTGTATTTCTTTTGTTTGGGCGTTCAGTCACACAAGCTACTCGGGGCAGTCAGCATTATACTATCGCATAAGAGACTCGCTCCTAGCCTTCCCCTTGGAAATTCAAACCGCCAATAACTATTGCGCCGACTATAGTAGGAGATCCCTGCGGAGGAAAACTCCGTGATGCTTAGACCACGGCCTTGCCCAACACAAGTTATAAATTAGGGCACTGCCGGGAATTGAACCCGGGACACCAGGCTTACAAGGCTAGTGTTCTGACCGCTAGACCACCGTGGCGGATCCCTGGTAGCCCGAGAAGAATTAATTATACTTTGTCGCCGTGAAAGTTTCAGATCATTCGTCATAAACTTCGTATTACAGTCCATCTTCAGAATTCTTTATACTTCGTTTCTAAAATGTCCCCTGTATTTAGATTACAGAAAGGGAGGAATTATGAAAGTATGCTCACCTTGTTTCTAATAAGACGGAAGCAATTTTGTAATGTACCTAACACTGTTCATTGTCACACAGTTTTATTAATATATATGTA